CGAGGGCAGGGCAACTCCCCCCCTCCATTCCAGGCCCCCCTCCATCTCCCGGTCCCCCCTCCCTCCCCTCCTCCCCTCCCTGCCCTTGTCTCCCTTAGGGGAGGGTTTAAATCCACCTCTCTCCACCTTCCTGGTTGCATCTCCACTTAAAATAAATTGTGGGTCAGGATGTCTCAGGCCAACATTTACATTTTGACCCCTTTCCCATTCCCACAGGCCACCGGCCCGCCGGTGGGCTTACAGGCCGGGCTCTTGGCTCAGGACACGGGGGTTAAAAAAAGGGGGAAGCTACAGGCCTGTGTCTCTTGCCAAAAGACGGAGAGGGTGTTATCTATGCATTTTGTGGCAATGCAGTCTGTGGATGTTGTTGTTGTTGTCGGGTTTTTCACCATCCCGGAGGGAGCCAGGAAAAAAAAAATGCAACTTTAGAACAGGCTGAGGAAGAGAGGCAGAAATAGGGACTGATGGTTTGGGGGAGGGGGGTTTCTTGGCACTCCCACCCCCCTAAACTGGAACCCCCCAAATTTTCCGTCTGAAATGGTAGCTGAAGAGCCCGGAGAAATAAATCCGTTCAGCGAAAGAAAAAGATTTAGAAAAAGATGTTTATGTGGGTTGCCTTCCGGGAACGGAGGGAGGGGAATCAGCAGCTTGGAAATTTGTTAGAATTTAGGGGTTTATCACCCCACAAGCAAATTTTTGGGCTGTATATTCTGGGGAAGAAGAATAGTGACATTTCTCTGCCATTGGGGTGCTTAACGGAGAAATGGAGAATAATCGTGGCTGTTTAGAGGTGCGAATGTTTTTTTCTTCTTTTGTTTCGTTTTTTTAAATTGATATATCCAGGGAGGCTCGTTGATAACCCCGGTGCCTTCCAGAATGGTGCAATGGAGCTTCTCTACTCAGAGATAGTCTACCTTGAATAAATAGAAAAGGAGAATTGCAGCTGTTTCTCCAAAGCATTTTTGTGGCCCCTGGATGGGTGAAACAAACTGGCATTTTTTTATTTTTTGTCTCTGTGGCAACAGACTTTTCTAAGGCCTCTTTCACCCGTTTGAGATGGTCTGGTGTTGTTGTTGATTTTGTTAATTGCCTCAAATCTTGGCTGTGCATTACTGCCCAAAGTTCCTTTGGACCAGTATCACTCAGAGTGAAGCAAAGTAAATCTGTCCCTTTCAGTTCAGATTCCGGGCTGTGTGAATCCACGGCCCACGTTTAACTCTGGCTAGTGGCACGCATGTTGATTTCCGAGCCGGGATCCGAAAATTTCTTTAAAAATTGCAGTTTTTAGGTCACCTTTGGGCCTGAAAACACCCAGCAGTTGCGTTCCACCAGCCTCGCCCAGCTTTGGACTGCAAAGCCACGTAAAATCTTATTTATTTGCTTGATTCCATTTCGCGGGCCGCCCGTCTCACCACAGGGAGGCTTACAGTGGTGGCTTACAGTGTTAAAATACTATATGTAGGCACTCCTCGACTTATGACGATCGCGACAGAGGCCAACATTTTCTGTCGTTAAGCGAGACACTTGTTAAGCGACTTTTGCCCCGTTTCGCCCCCTTCCTTGCTTGCCACAGCCGTTCAGTCACTGCAGTTGATAAGTTACCTCAGCCCTGGCTTCCCCCACTGAAGGTCAACAAAGGGGATCATGTCTCACACACACACACACACACACACACACACACACACACACACACCCCGGGACGACCATCCTAAATGAGAGTCAGTTGCTGAGCGTCTGAATGTTGATCAGGGAATTGTAATCGTGAAAAATGGTCATTTTTTTTCCCCTCCAGCGCCGTTGTAACTTTGAACGGTCACTAAACGAGCGGTGGGGAGGACTGGCTGTAATCCCCTTCCCCTCCCACCCCCCCACCCCTTTCCCATCTTGCCTGTGCTTGGCAGCCCTGCGTGCGGCTTTCTCCCGAGTTGGCACTTTGCAGCCCGTCCCTAACTCTGACACGGTTATTAGTCAAGGGAGAAGGGGGGGAATCTGGAGGCTTCGCTGGGCGAAGGAAAAGGGCTGGAGACGCGGAGCCGGAGACTCCGACCCGAGCTCCAGGAGGGTTGGGGGGGGAGGGAAGAAGCCGAGAGAAGAAAGGGGGGACCCGAGAAGGCGGGGGGGACCCGGAGAAAAAAACCCCACACCAAGAAGAAGAAGAAGAAGAAGAAGAAGAAGAAGAAGAAGAAGAAGAAGAAGAAGAAGAAGAAGAAGAAGAAAGCCAGACGGAGGTGTGGATAAAATCCACCAAGCCTCCGGCGGAAAAGTTGATCGATTAAAAACTTCATTAAGGGCAATTGCAGGGGGGCCCCTTCCCGCCCCCCCGCCCCCTCCCCGCAAAGCGTCAGGATGAGGGGTCGGGGCGAAAACTCGTGAGTAAAGCGGGCAGCAACTCCGGGTTTAAGCGGCGTCGGGAAAGAGAGGGGGGGGGGGCAAAAACCAAGAAGAAGAAAAAAAAAATCCAGCAAGAAACTCGATCGGATTCCGTGTATTTATTTTTATTTTTATTTTTTTGAACCGAATCTAATTTTCCTGCGAAGAAGAAGGAAGGAAGGAAGGAAGGAAGGAAGGAAGGAAGGAAGGAAGGAAGGAAGGAAGGAGGGAGATGCCAGTCAATTAAATCCAGACCGGAGGGCTCTTCCAAGCCCTGTCCCCCCCCCTTTCTCCCCCCCCCAAATCCGAAACTGCCCCCGCCTTTCATCTTCTTTGTCTCCAGCTGCCAAGGCGGGCGAATTTTCCCCGTTCTTTATTTTATTGGCCTCGGGGGTTTGATCAATTCTCCTTTCGATTCTCCTTCTCCTTTTTTCACTCTCCTGATCTGGGGGCTCGGCCGCTCCGAATTCGAGGCTCGCTCCGGTTCTGCTCCCCTTTGGACCAATGAAGGAACCGGATGCCATCAAACTTTTCATCGGACAGATCCCTCGGAATTTAGACGAGAAGGACCTCCGGCCGATTTTCGAGCAGTTTGGCAAAATCTACGAATTGACGGTCATCAAAGATAAATACACCGGCATGCACAAAGGTGAGGAGGGGCTGGGGGTGGGGAGGGGCTGGGGGGGTCTTGGGAAGGGGTGGTGGAGCGGGCAAGGGTCGGTGGGGAGTCCAGGCTGGCTGGCTGGCTGGCTGGCTGGAGGGGGGGGAAGAGGCTCCGACCGCCCCCCTCCTCCAAAGACTTTTAAAAGAGGTGGGGGGGGGGGCGACGGCCGCGTAAACCGACTTTCGAGGTAGGAAAGTGGTCCAACGGCGGCTTTCCCAGCCAGGGGAGATGGGGGTCTGGGGTTTAGGGTGGGGGAGGTGGCACAGCAGATGGCAGGAGACTGAGCTGGGAGATTTGCATGAATAGAAAGTGGGGGGAGGAAGCCCCCTCCTCTCCTTTTTCAGGGCAGGGCAGAAGCGGAGAGGGGACCCCCTTTGGTTTAAAGAGGGGCGGGTGGGCTTTGCGAAGAGTTGCGAAGGTGCAAACACCAAGAGGCGAGGGGGGCGATGCAACGGAAGCAGGGGTGGGGNGGGCGCTCAAGGGGGCTTGGAAAGCGGCTCGAACTTTGACATTTGGATGGGGGCAGGGAAGGGGAGAAGGGAAGGAAGGAAGGAAGGAAGGAAGGAAGGAAGGAGCAAGGAGGGAGAGAGAGGAAAGAGAGAGAGGAAGGAAGGAAGGAAGGAAGGAAGGAAGGAAGGAAGGAAGGAAGGGGCAAGGAGGGAGAGAGAGGGGAGAGAGGAAGGAAGGAAAGAAGGAAAGGAGAATAGATAAAGTAAGGGAGGGAGAGAAGGAAGGAAGAAAGACAGGATGGAGGGAGGGAGGAAAGAAAAGAAGAAATAGAGGGGAAAGGAAGGAGGGGAGGGAGGAAAGGAAGCAAGAATACAGGAAGGGAGGAAGAAATAGAGGAAGGGAGGGAGGAAGGGGGAAGGAGGGAGAGAGGAGAGGAAGGAAGGAAGGAAGGAAGGAAGGAAGGAAGGAAGGAAGGAAGGAAGGAAGGAAGGAAGGAAGGGAGAATCGATGAAGGAAGGGAGGGAGGGAGAGAAGGAAGGAAGAAATAGAGGAAGGATTTTCTCCCCTTCAACCCCAGGATAATCTGCGCTGTCTTGTAAACATTTAAAAGGAGAGAAAGGGGCAATTCCCCAGAGTCAAGTCAGCTAAGAATAAAATCTAATTAACGTGCTAAAGGAAAGTTAAAAGAGGCTGAAAGGGGGGGGGAGTGAAACACACCTCAGGATAAATCCCCAAGTCTGGGTTCCCCTTAATCTGGGTTAAATCCACAGCCCCCCCTCCCCCACTTTTGGCCATCCAGCCAAGGAAAGGCATGGAGGGGGGGGGAGGCCTTGTTTTCACCTAGGTTGGCTGATCCCAACTATGATGGATGAAGCCGTCTGGCAGGTGTGCACTGTGTCGTGTTGTGAACAGTTTTTGGCAATGGGAAAGGAACTGGGAAGGGACCAGGAAGGGGGGGGGGAGGGAGAAAATCAGCCTTTGCTGAGTCAATTCTCCGCTTTAAAATCCAGGAAAACAGAACCGCTCTTCCGTAGTTAGCACCTCCTGTCTCCCCCCCCCAAAAAGATATTTCTCTTAAAACTGCTGCAGAACAAGAAAAGGACATCCCAAGTGATGGACTGTTATGTAGGTTCAAGTTTCAATCAGCTCGCTTGTGTTGTCGTTGTTGTTTTTTTCTTTCAAGAATCACTGAGGACTAGAACCTTAGTTTATTTTGCAGGGACCGGTTACATATTTGCCTGCTTTGAAGGACCGGAGGGACCTTGATCTCTCATCAGGGGTTGGACAGGATCTAACAAACTTCATATGTTGGTGTTTTTTTTCAGCATCTGTATTCTATTTTTTATTTTTTATTTTTGGGGGGTGAAAAAGCGCAAACAGACCGTCCATTTTTGGATGCCTTTTTGATTCAGAAGAGCAGTTTGATCCTGTTCTAAGTGGTAAAAGGTATTATTTAAGGGCAAAGAGGCCACTGGAAAATCTTGGTGGGATGGAAATCAATCTGGACTTTTTTTAGGATTGCAAGGATTTTTGCAGGAGGCAAATAAGTAAACAAAGATTTGAAATTTCACACCCAGCGGTGTTAAAATGCTCCTGGGAGGGGAAAAAAAAAGACCACTTTAATTTCCTCAATAAATAAATTTCTGATCAACATTAGCAGCCAACCAAAGAAGAGAACCTATTCCAAATCTGAGAATGTTTTGATCTAAAAAACAAAAAAACATGGAAAACCATCAGTGGCTCAGGATTAAGAGCCGAGAATAGGAAGGATCAACTTTCCCCGTAGGCACAAGTTTTCCAGGGCAAATTCATCATGGCAGGTTACTAGTCCTCAAGGGAATTGGCTCCTCGCCTCTGCTCCTAAGCTAGCAACTTACACACAAAGACCCAGATTTGGGTTCCTTCCACTGACTTGAGTTGGGGTGATAAAGTGACATTGCCGGCCCGGGAGGAGGGGGGAGGCAGCTGGTTTTCTTCAATTATACAGATATTTAATTTAAAAAATAAATTAAAAAGGGTCAAAGGCTTTTCTTGGAGGAGGACGGGCATGGCACCTGAGATTTATTTTTTCCCATGCAAAGTGGCACAAAATCTCTTTTTTTCTGCCAATCAATATTCGGTTGGTTTTTTTCCCCACTTTCAAACCTAGAGGCTCTCTGTAATTTTGGACAACCGGGTTTTCAAGCCAGCATTTAATCAGGGCTTGTTTTGAGCATCCTCGCCTTCCACGTTCAAAGCTAGAGACGCCCTGCGCCTTGTCACCCTCCCTCTGGCTGCCAGCTTGGAGCACGCACGGGCCAGCCCTTAGACCTGGCACAGGAGTCTTGCCAATGCGGTTTCACTCTTCCTCGTTGCAGCCAACCGGGATAAAAAAAAAAAATCTATCCTCGTCCCCAAAACGGGCCAGTTCGGATCGCCGAAGCGCAAAAACCTGCCAGCTTTAGGGACCAACAGAAAAAGTGGAGGGGACTTTTGCAAAATGCAAAGGCCAAGTTTAAAACTGAGGTTTAAAACTCAGGTTTAAAACTGAGGTTTAAAACTGGGCTGATACAGACCAGGAAAAAAAGAAAAAAAGAAAGGCATTTTTAATTCAGGCAGAAAAAAAAATCTTGCTTTAGCCCCCTCGACCAAGTTACTACGGCAGGAGAATTTGGGGTGCCGTCGCTGGAGAGTTATTCTGAATTTGTCAAAGCCCTGATCAAATCAATTGGCTTTTGCGAGGTTTGAAAACAACTCTTTGCTGGCCAGGGTTGGGAAGTTGGGGGGGGGGTGTCTTTTATCTCCCCAGTGGTGGGCTGGGTTTTATTTCTTTATTAAATTTATGTGCTTTTGACTCGGTTATTATTCTCCTCCACCCCGCCCAGTGGTCCTCCCTTGCTAATGATTAGGCCAGGTCCCTCATTCTGCAGCTGCAACCTGGCGCCCACGTTCCAACGAGCCTCTGGCTGAGGATGATGGACGTGAGCGTACCTTGGAGGTGTTTGGGGGTCAAAAAGAGGTTTAAAAATGAAGGTAGTGGGTTGCGAGGGAGTCTAGAGTAGCTGCTGCAACCTGCAGGTTTAGCAAGGGTGTAGTTAGCAGGACCTGCCCTAACTTAGAAGGAACTCAAATCGGTGGGATTTTGCCCCCAAGCCCGTTCAAGATATTTTTATGTTTTCTCTTTGGGCTTGTTTGAACCAGCGAGATGAGATGTTTGTCAAAATGTAGAATGCGACAAACTTTTCTTTTTTTTTCCTTAAGGAAAAGAGGAAGCAAAGGAAAAAAGAAATTCAACATATAAACAGAGAACACAGACAAGTTTTCGGATCCGAGGCTTTTGTAACGGGGGAGTTTTAAATGAAATTAAAAGGAAGAAGTGGGCTTATTTTTCCCAGAAAATTGGGAAGGATCGGGGCGCAAAGGGAACCGACTCAGAGCAAAATAAAAAAATTAAAAAAAAATGGGGGCTAGGATTTGTCTTTTGGAAAACAGCCGGTTAAGATGCAAATGGAGGGTTAAGAGGGATTTTTATTTATTAAAATAAATATATTTGGGCAGTGTGCGACAATCCAGTAAAAAAAACAAAAAACCAGGATTCGGCTTTGGGGTGGATTAAAAATGGGCTTTTGGCTCCCTGAATGGATTTGGACAACATTGGACTTTTAGAAAACATAAGAAGCCCCTGAATAATAGTAGTAGTAGTAGTAGTAGTAGTAGTAATAATAATAATAATAATAATAATAATAATAACAACAACAACAACAAAACAATTCTTCTCCATCTCCTCCTCTTCTCCTTTTTCCTTCTTTTTTCTTTCTTTTTCCTTCTTTCTTTCCTTCTTCCTTTTTCCCTTTTTCCTTCCTTCTTCCTTCTTCTTTCCTCCTTCCTTCCATTCTTCCTTCTTCGTCCTTCCTTGTTCCTCCTTTCTTTTCTTCTTCCTTTTTCCCTTTCCCCTTTTCCTTCTTTCTTTCCTTCTTCCTTTTTCCCTTTTTCCTTCCTTCTTCCTTCTTCTTTCCTCCTTCTTCCTTCCTTCCTTCCTTCCTTCCTTCCTTCCTTCCTTCCATCTTCTTCTTTCTTCCTCCTTCCTTGTTCCTCCTTCTTTCTTTTCTTCTTCCTTTTTCCCTTTCTTCTTCCTTCTTTCCTCCTTCCTTCCTTTCTTCTTCCTTCCTTTTTCTTTTCTTCTTTTTCCCTTTTCCCTTCCTCCTTCCTCCTCCATTTACTTGGAGAAAGAAAACCAGACGGAGGGGCAGAGGGGAAGGGCTCTTTTTTTGCCCCCCTGGCATTTTTTCCCCTTCTTTTAGCCCCCCCCACCACCATCCACCCCCACCCCCCTGCAGAAAGCTCCCGCTGGCAGCTCGCAGGGCTGGGCTGACGTGGCACCATCAGGCCGAGCTGCTGGAGCGTGACAGGCTTAGCTTTTCCACTTCGTTGCCCGTTGTGACAGGCAGAGGCTAAATATAGGCCCTGCGCTGAAGCCGGGGAAGAAATGGAGCATATTTTGCTGATGAAAATGTTTTTTTTTGGGGGGGGGGGGAATTAAAATTAAAGATGGGCAGAGAAAGGGAGAGGCTGGGTTGGGGGCGGGCGGGATGGGCGGGCGGGCATCACGTTGCAAAACTTTCCTCTCTTTTGAACCGAGCCCACAGCTGGAGGGAGAGGAAGCCAGACCCAAAGCCGATGGGCTTTGTAGTCCCACTTCACCCTGAGTGAGCAGCAGATTCGATCCTTAAGCCTGCCCGGTTGGGAACCTCTGAGAAATATCCGTGCAATATTTTGTTCTGGAACCGTGGCTCTTTTATGACTCCTGGACTTCAACTCCCAGAATTCCTGAGCCAGCATGAGGGAAACTTTGGCCCTTTCATGACTGGTGGACTTCAACTCCCAGAATTCCTGAGCCAGCGTGGGGGAACTATGGACCCCTCATGACTGGTGGACTTCAACTCCCAGAATTCCTGAGCCAGCGTGGGGGAACTATGGCCCCCTCATGACTGGTGGACTTCAACTCCCAGAATTCCTGAGCCAGCGTGGGGGAACTATGGCCCCCTCATGACTGGTGGACTTCAACTCCCAGAATTCCTGAGCCAGCACGGCTCAGCTTGGAAACCTCTCCCTTTCCCCTCAGCATAGCTGGCTCAGGAATTCTGGGAATTGAAGTCCACGAGTCATAAAAGAGCCACGGTTGCCTACCCCTGGGCTATACCAATGGTGCAACCGTGGAGGGGGCAGCCAGGTCGATTTTTAAATTAAGGGCAACTTCCGAGTTATTGGAGCCCATCTGGGTTGCAGAACCCTGATGATGTTACCTTGCTGGGTCATGAAATGTCTGCAAGAAGCATCAGGGACAAAACAGTCTCAAATCAGCTTTTGGCAGTCCCACCTTTCAGACCGAATCCCCTCGGTTCCTTTTTTAAAAATAATAATAATAATAAATAAATCTGGAAAAGTAATTAAAAACATTTCGAATCGGGGCTTAAGCTCTACGAAGCTGGAAAGGAAAAAAGCGTCTGTAAAACAGTTCACCTGTAAATGAACAAGCCAGCTTTCTAAACCTGGTTGTTTCCAGCGTGAAATATCTCTTTTTCCACCCCTACCCCCCAATTTTAGTGATCTCCGAATCCCCAAAGGCATGGCAGGTGTTTAAAGAGGATGGGAAAACGCAGGGAATAAATATCCAGAGGAAAGATGATTATAATTTGATGCCATTTAAAGTTGACAACTCCTCTGTACGTCGTCTGCCATCCTGCCCGAGCTGGCCAGATGTTAGCCTGAAGCACAGCTGGGGGCAGTCAGCCACTGCGTGGGGGGGGCTATCCCAGAGGTGAAACGTTAAGGTAGACTGCCTCTGAACACCGAGTTCTTTGGATTTCGAGTTGGTAGCTTCTGTTTCCTGCCCATTTGGGGGTCTTTCCTATGGGGATTTAGAACAGAATAGAGCTGGAAGGGACCATGGAGGTCTTCTAGTCCTCAAGCAGGAGGACCTGTCCTATACCATCGCAGACAGGTGATTGTCCGGTCTCTTTTTAAAAAAGTCCAGCAATTTCTGGTGGCAAGCTGTTCCACTGGTCGATTGTCCTCACTGTCAGGAAGGTTCTCCTTAATTCCACATTCTTCTTCTCTCATTTAGAGCTTCACAAGGAAGGGCTGTGAAACCAGTTTCAGGCTGGATTACAGATTTGGCATCAACATGGCACCGGAAGGGGTATCTTTGATAAACGGGTGTTTTTTCTCCCTTTAGGATGCGCCTTCCTGACGTACTGTGCCCGGGAATCCGCCCTCAAGGCCCAAAGCGCACTGCATGAGCAGAAGACCCTGCCCGGGGTAAGTCCCAGGACGGTGCCGGCTGCTATGCCAGGGGCCTGTCCGCCACCCTCTTCTTCCTTAGCGCCCGACGCAACCTGAAGCGGAAATATCTTCGGCGGCAAACACCGTCCGCATAAGGTGTGTCCAGGTGGGTTGATCCCGCTTTGGTTCTCCTTGTTTGCGGATCTCCTGCCGTTGTTTGCAGAAGCCGCGTTTCTCCTCTGGATTATTTCAGGTCTAAAAGATCTCCAACTGGGTTATTTCAGTGTTAAAAGAGACATTGCATATGATTAAGAAGAGTTCGAATTTGCTGGCGTTCCAGCTGCCCTCGGAAAGTTTTCTGGGTCTACTACCTCGTTTCCCCGAAAATAAAACCGGGTCTTATGTTAATTTTTGCTCCAAAAGATCCATTAGGGCTTATTTGGGGGGGGGAAATAGGGTACTAAATGCATCCCTCTGGCTGACGATCTTAACTGGGTCTTATTTTGGGAGGGTATTTAGTCAACGGGATATGACTTTCTCGATAAACCAGTGGCCTTGAGAAGCCCCCTGGGGGCAGAGTCCAAGGATCTAGTCAACAGCCAGGAATCAAAGTTTGTGTGTCTCTCTCTCTCTGCCCAGCATTTGGGGTGGGGTATGGACATAGAACTGGACAAGGGGGCTCACCCACCAGGTTTGGTGTCAGCAGTGGGATCAGCCCTTCCAAGTCCATAAGGAGAAACGGAATCCAGGAATCGGTGTTCGAATCTGGGAACTAAAATCTGGGAACTTTTCTAAGGGCTTTTCCTAAGGGACTCTGCCTGTCCTGGTGGTGCGTTTTCTTTTTTTTTCTTTTTTTCTTTTACAAGATGACAGGTTTTGTTTTTCTTTTTAAAGTTTTTTACATAGCTAGAAAGTCACCCTGTGGTTGTTATGATTAGCGGCTTCTCTGCAACAAACAGGGTGCCCCCAAGGGCAGAATAGAGCATTTGGAGAGCCTTGGTTGTTGTTGTTTTTTCGTTTAAAAGAAGTAGTGAAGTTTCTAGTCCTCACCGCCGCACACGGAGCAAAGCCTGCAAGGAGCATGGGGTTGGGGGTGGGGGATCTTTCTCAGGCCTAAGCTGATTTGCTTCCTTGTCCAGGGCATTAACTCTTGACTTAACCTTGTTTGCTACGCTGCAGCCGCAGGGGGGATAAGGCGGCCTCCCTGAGCCGGGGAGAGAAAGGGCTGGTGGTAAATAGGATTACGGAATCAGATCAGCCTCGGCCCTCCCAGTGAAATCCAAGACCCCGGAGGGGAGGCTGGCCTCCGTCCTGGCAGGGGGGGGCAGGGGGGAGGGCTGGGCAGCAGGAAGAGGCCGGAAGACATCCATGTTGGCTTGTGAAGGAGCCAAACCAGGTTTAATCCTTGCAAGAGATGCAGGGGAAACGGCCCCTCGTCATCCCAGGGAAGATGGACGGAGCAGAGGGTGTATTTCTATTATTTTGGGGTGGGGGACGGGGAGTAGGTGGGTTGCTTAGAAATGCTTTGGCCAAGGAAGCTTTCTTTCTTTCTTTCTTTCTTTCTTTCTTTCTTTCTTTCTCTTTCTTTCTTTCTTTCTCTTTCTTCTTTCTTTCTTTTTCTTTTTCTTTTTCTTTCTTTTTCTTTCTTTCTTTTTCTTTCTTTCTTTCTTTCTTTTTCTTTCTTTCTTCCTTCTTTCTCTTCTTTCTTTTTCTTTCTCTTTCTTCTTTCTTTCTTTTTCTTTTTCTTTCTTCTTTTTCTTTCTTCTTTATTTCTTTCTTTTTCTGTCTTTCCTTCCCTCCCTCCCTCCTTCTTTCTTGCTTGTTTGCTTCTTCCCTCCCTCCCTCCCTCCCTCCTTTCTTTTTCTTTCTTTCTTTCTTTCTTTCTTTCTTTCTTTCTTTCTTTCTTTTTCTTTCTTTTCCCTCCCTCCCTCCCTCCCTCCCTTCCTGTCTATCTCTTTCTCTGTCTTCCTTCCTTCCTTCCTTCCTTCCTTCCTTCCTTCCTTCCTTCCTTTCCCTTCCTCCCTCCATCCCTCCCTTCTTGCTTTCCCTCTTTATTATTTTTTTTCTTATTCTCTCTGGTAGCCAGGAAGGCGCCACTCCATGCCTCCCCCGGCCCAGCTGCCCTCCTGGGCGAGCCCCCCCCCCTGCCTGCTCGCTCGGCTTCCCTGCCAGCTATTTGCCCAGGGAGGGGCCGCGAAAGGGAGCAGGTGTTTGGCCAGCTGTCGCACAGCTAGGAGCCCTCACCTTGCTCCCTGGCACGGCCTCCTGCCAAAGCCGGGGGGGGGTGGGGGGGGCGGGGGGGAGAGGCTGCCTGCAAAAGGAAAATCGGAAAATCAGAGGCTCAAGTTCAGAAAATTAGAAGAAAGGGGCACTTTGAAAAAGCCACATGCCCACCGCGGGCATCCCTGTTCTTCCCAAATGGGTCTCAAGTCCAGCATCTTCTCCTATTTCTCTCCCCAGCATCTGGAGCATCTGGAGGTAGACTGCTCCTACACACGGGGCTCCACTCAAATAGCCATCGTAACTCTACAATGCTGCTTTATCCATGCTGTGTCTTGGTCTCTCCCCCTCCTCCTCCTCCTCCATTTCCTGACAGTGAGAACAATTAACCAGTGGAACTGCTTGCCTCCAGAAATTGTGGGTGCTCCATCACTGGAGGTTTTTAAGAAGAGACTGGACAGCCATTTGTCTGAAATGATATAGGGTCTCCTGCCTGAGCAGGGGGTTGGACTAGATGACCACCAAGGTCCCTTCCAACTCTGTTATTCTGTAATTCTATTGTCCTTCCTTCTTTCCTTCCTTCCTTCCTTCCTTCCTTCCTTCCTTCCTTCCTTCCTTCCTTCCTTCCTTCCNTCCATCCATCCATCCATCCATCCATCCATCCATCACTGGAGGTTTTTAAGAAGAGACTGGACAGCCATTTGTCTGAATTGGGACAGGGTCTCCTACCTGAGCAGGGGGATGGACTAGATGACCTCCAAGATCCCTCCCAACTCTGTTATTCTATAATTCTACTGTCCTTCCTTCCTTCCTTCCTTCCTTCTTCCATCCATCCATCCATCACTGGAGGTTTTTAAGAAGAGACTGGACAGCCATTTGTCTGAATTGGGACAGGGTCTCCTGCCTGAGCAGGGGGCTGGACTAGAAGACCTCCAAGGTCCCTTCCAACTCTTGTTCTTCTGTTATTCCCCTTCTCCTTGTAGCCCCTCACCCTGAAGGCCATGTGTCCCCCACTCGTGGACCCAGAGGCGCCATGAACCACGGGTGCAAAACTGCACTCGCCCCCCTCCTTCGGCACAGCCCCCCCTCCTTTGCCAGGAGATCTGGAATTGGTGGATTATCTCCAGATTAGGCTTGGGCAGGCCGACCCACAGGGCTGGCCGGGGAAGGGGGGGCAGGCAAAGCTGGATTAGGGACCTTCTGATCTCCAGCCCAGGCGGGGGACAAGGAGGAGAAGACGCCATCCGAGCTCAAGGTGATGCGTGAAAACATTCCCGTGCTCAGTGGCCTTGCTGCAGGATTGGGGGGGGGGGCTTCTCTAAAAAAATGGATGCCCAAGGGGATTATTCCTTGCCTCCTTTTTGGGGGGAGGGGGCGAGGGGTCTGCAGTAGAGCCCCCACATCCAGGAGAAGTCTACCGTTTGTTATCCCAAGGTCAGAGCTAAGGGGGGCTCAGAGCAGGCGCAGGGGGGCCAGTTGGGGAGCTGTCCTTGGGGCTGGGGAGGGTGCAAAGGCAGAGGGGGGGGGGTCCCAGTTGGAAAAGAGTCCATTTTGAAGTTGTCCGTTGCTGTCTCCTTGGCCGGTGCGGTCAAAAAAGTCAAAATGGCGGCGGCAAAGGAGTCTCCGATGCCTGATTATTATTTTTTTTTGCCTGCCACTAAATAAGGTTTTTGCACTTTGTTGTGAGCTCCCCAAATGTTGTTGGATAGAAGATGGGGGGCAGATAAATTTCATGAATAAATCAATCGCAAAACAGGCCCCAAAGCTATTTTCCTTGCAGCTCTTTGTTGTTGTTTTTTAATTGATTTTTTTTTTTAAAAAAAAAGTCAAGATTTCTTTCCATTTTGGGGAGGCAAAATAAAGGGTATTTCTGCCCAGCGAAAGTAGGAAATCTGGAGACCGTGGTGGCAACATTCCCCCCTCCCGGGCTTTCTGCCCCCCCCCCCGCAAAAGCATCCGGGGTGGGGAACCAACGCCCCCCCCTCCCCATCTCCTCCCTCCTTGCCAAGGCACTCGAGGTTCCCTCGGTCCAGATGGCAGAGCCACGTTAAACCATGTTCGTGATGTGGCTAATCCCTGTCTAATCCCTGTCTCTGTTTTCCTTAGTGGTCTGGAGACCATTCAAGGCCCTTTGGAGACAGCCAGGTGCAAACACACCTGGCCAGCCCTGAGATGCTCCAAGGGCAGAACCTGGCCTGGCCTTGTGCCGCCTTTCGCACCCACGCCATCCTCCTCCTTTCGAGGCCGGATGGCCTGGGGTGGAGAAGGGGCCGGCGGCATCGCCCAGCCCAGCCTGGCCGCAGGTCCTGTTTGCCAGCTGCCTCTGGGCCCCGTTTCCGGGATCCTAAACGTAAGGAGGGTTTTAGCTGGGCAGCGAGCGCCGAGGTTGCGAGGCAGGCAGGCAGGCAGGTGGGGAGGAACACGGGTGCCGGAGGACCGAAATTCAGATGGAGACAAAAAGAGGGCAGGGGGAGGGAGGGATCCGCTCTGGCTTTGCTGGAGGCCATGTCGCAGACTTTCAGCCAACCTCAAAGCCGGAGGATGAAGCTTAGGGACTAGGAACTTGATTGTTTTGCTTTGCAAAAGGAAGGAAGGGGGAGGGAGGGAGGAAAGAGAGAGAGAGAGAGAGAGAGGAAGGAAGGAAGGAAGGAAGGAGGGAAGGAAGGAAGGAAGGAAGGAAGAAGGAAGGAAATAAGGGAGGGAAGAAGGAAGGAAGGAAGGAAGGAAGGAAGGAAGGAAAAAAGGGAGGGAAGAAGGAAGGAAGGAAGGAAGGAAGGAAGGAAGGAAGGAAGGAAGGAAGGAAGGAAGGAAGGAAAAAAGGGAGGGAAGAAGGAAGGAAGGAAGGAATGATTTAAGAATTGCTGATTAAAATGGGTTACACATGGCAGAAGGGAATCATGCTGTCATTTTAATAAGAGAGAGAATAAGCCGTAAAGAACATCAGAAGTCGCTTTTTTCTTTATTTCTCCTTTTTCCCTCCTTTATTACTTCTTTCTCCACTTCTCATATCTTCTTTCTTCTTCTCTTTCATCTTCCTCTACGTTGTTTCTTTTTTTAAATAAAATAAAATAAAATTCCCCTTTGGAGAAAAGGCTTTTACAAACGACCTCGCCGGTTAAAATCTCCAGGGCCTGCCCCGATTTAAACTGTGCAGAGATTTAAAAATAAATATATTCCGAGGAAAAGGCCTTGGAGAGATAAAACACGAGGAGGGAGGGAGCCGGTTAGGGTTTTCGAGAGGAGATTCTTTTTTATTATTATTATTTTATTTTTACATCTGCTTCGGGCTGCTTTGCCAACTCCCCCCCCCTCGCAGCCCCCCCCAAGAGCACACCGTTTCTTTTCTCTTCTCCTCCCCCCCCCATCTCAAATCTGCCCTCCTCTTCGCTAAACGCTCCTGGTCATTGTTTATAGAGATAAGTGATGATGTCAGCATGGTTCCCATAGCAACCGGAAGGGATAAAGGAGAGATGAGTGGGTAGTTGCCATGGTGTATTTGCTCCAGTTGCCATAGAGACTGGCATCTGCTTCCTGGCTGCTCTTTCGAGGCACCCCCCACCCGCCCAAACTTTTTTTTTTTTTTTAAACTCGGTATTTTATTTTGTCTCTTAGCAAACAGCTTTTCCAAAGTTAAGGCTTTATGTAATTTTTCTGCTTTTCATTTTCCTATCTACCTCTATCTCTATCTATCTATCATCTCTCTCTCTGTCTATCTATCTATCTATCTATTATCTATCATCTATCTATCATTTATCTATCTCTGTCTGTCTGTCTGTCTGTCTGTCTGTCTGTCTGTCTGTCTATCTATCTCTATCTATCTATCTATCTATCATCTGTCTATTTATCTATCAATCTATCTATCTCTCTATTATCTATCATTTATCTATCTATCTATGTCTGTCTGTCTGTCTGTCTATCTTATCTATCTATCTATCATCTCTCTCTCTCAATCTCTCTCTCTCTCATCTATCTATCTATCTATCTATCTATCTATCTATCATCTCTCTCTCTCTCTCTCTCTCTATCTATCTATCTATCTATCTATCTATCTATCTATCTATCTATCTATCTATCTATCCCTGGAGGGGTGGAGTTGTGATTTAATAGATCAGAGATGTTGTTTTTGGCAAGGATGATCCCTGCTTTTTCCCTCATTTTATTTTCAATTTTGCATCAATGCACTGGCAAGATTGCAATGCTCTTTTTTTAAAATATTTGTTTTGTTTTGTTTTTTAAAGCTGCATGTACCTTCCCGGGCTTGATTGAGACCCTTTTCTTCTGAACTCAGTTTGGGAAATAAAAGGAAATAAATTCCGATTTTCCTCCGGGTTCTCTGTCCTCCGTTTCCTTCCTCAGTTGGCTCCTTCTCTTTGCCAATTCAGACCCTCTTTTTTGTTGTTGTTGTTGCACGGAAAACAAATCAGCTCAAACATAGCCCTGTACTTTAATAATAATAATAAAAAAATGCAAGCTTTCCTTGAGGTTTTCCCTGGCCCTGCCTTCGCGTTTATGACGATAATATTATAATAAATGAATTATATAAAAGTAGATACCATATTACAACAGGTTAAAGCAAATTCTATTAAAGAGAGCGAGGATTTCTCTTTTCTACCCTTTGCTGAGTTTTTATCGCCACCGTCAAATCTGCAAGCGGAAAGAAAGAGCGGGGAGGGTTTGTTTGTTTTTTTTAAAACAATTAAATAAGCTTGCTACTTGTCTGGAAGAATAATCACCATCGTGATAATGCTATCCAGAGAGGCAGAAAAGGAAAAAGAAACCAGAAGCCAAACTGGTCCTTCTTAGCTGCCCTGGTTACTGTGGCAACAGGACATAACTTGGCAACTGGAGGCGGGGAAGGATACAGGCCTCGGGCGCCATGGCAACCCCATCACCATCCCTGCCTCTTGGGCTGTGATAGGCAGGAGGGAGTTTTGGGCATCCTCTCCTGGATGAAGGAGGCGGCCGGGAAGATTTTGCACATCTGGCAACAGAGCTGAATGCCTCCTTCCGAGTTTGGATGGGGACTTTTGCAAATGTGGTTTCTTCCCCCCCCCCAAAAAAAAAGCTCAAGAGGGACCCACAAATTTCCAGGATTGGTTGGGATAAACTAAGAAAAAAAACAACCTAAAGAGAGCCTTTATATCTGTATTTTTTAAAAAGGACTATACTGTATTTTTTAAAACGACTAAATTATTATTACGGTGACCAATTTAAATTTAAATTTATTATTACTATGCAGTGGCCCTCGACTTAACAGTTCGTTTAGGGACCGTTCCAAGTTGCAACGGCGTTGAAGAAAGCGACGTACGACTGCTTTTCAAACTTACGACTGTCGCAGCGTCCCCCATGGGCCACGTGATCCAAATTCAGACGCTTGCCCACTGACTCGCATTTACGACGGTCGCGGCGTCCCCAGGGGTCACGCGACTCTCTTTTGCGACCGTCTGACGATCAAAGTCCTCGGGGAATATCAGATTCACATAAAAACCGTGTTGCTAACTTAAAAACTGCAGCGATTCAGTTAACAACCATGGCAACAGAGGACGTAAAATGGGGCAAAGCTCAACAAATGTCTAACCTTTGCAAGAGACATTTTGGTCATAAATCAAGGATTATCTGTAATATAATAATAACAGATCCTATATTGCAAGACGATGCTCAGCTTGTAAGGGATTGGCAAAATCTGGCTGGGATCTTAGATTCCCAAAATCTGTGAATCGGGGGGGGGGGGGGAATTCACATTCACCTCCCCCCCCAATCCATTTTTTTTCCCTTCCTTTCGGTCTTCTACAGCAGAACGAACAATTTCTCCAGGCCAAAAGCCTTGTTGCCTTTTGAGTTTTTATTTAGTTATTTTATTAAATGGATCCACTGCCATTTCACCATCTTAACAATTCTGGGCAGCTTACTGTGTAATAAAAGCCTAAATTTTGGAGGGGAGGAATGGATTAACAATAGTTTTGGGTGGCAAAGATGCTCTGGCTGGTTTTGGAAATTTGGGAAAGTTTGAAGAGGCTGTTCAGAGCCTTCTAAAAAGGGCTGATTTGGGACGATCCTGGTAACACATCTGCAGAGTCTTTTCTCTCTGTTTTCGCTTCTAAAAATGAAACAAAGGGGGGAAACAGCTCCCTAATGGTTGCTTCGAGGGATAGTCCCCATGAACCATTTGCAACCCAAACGTGACTTTTTCTGGCCTCAAAATTCATTTTTCTTTTCTTCCAGATGAACCGGCCGATCCAGGTGAAACCTGCAGACAGCGAAAGTAGGGGAGGTATATGCTTTCCTTCTGCTTTTTGTGTGTGTGTGTGTATGTGTGTGTGTGTGTGTGTGCGTGCGTGCGCAGGCCCAATGCTGTGATTGGGGCTCGCAGATCCCGCATTTATCTGCAGATTTTAATCTTTTGATTTCTGCAATTATTTAAACAACTAGGCTTAGAGAGTACCGAGCAAAGTCTGGATTCTTTTATTATTATTTTTTTAGCGTTTGCACCCCCCAACAGTATCAACTGGGATGTTGGTCTGCTAAGGATTAGAGGGGCTGGTGGTCAATTGTGAGGGAGCCTTTATTCCTTTTTGGGGGGGGGCTACTTCCCGCTTCTTTGTGTCTTCCAGAAGACAGGAAGCTGTTTGTGGGCATGCTGGGCAAACAGCAGACCGATGAAGACGTGCGGAAAATGTTTGAGCCTTTCGGGACGATTGACGAATGCACGGTACTCCGGGGTCCAGATGGCACCAGCAAAGGTGAGCTGGCCTGGGCGGGGCCCGCTGCTCAGCCCCAGGAATGTAAGGGGGGGTTTATGATCCTTGGTCGTGGGTGGGCTTCAGCTCCCATGCATGCTGGCTGGGGAATTCTGGGAGTTGAAGTCCACCCATCTTCAAATGGGGTTTTGCAAAAACCTGCTCGCTCCATTTCTGATCCCTTTCCTCTCCTTCTCTCCTTCCTTCTCCGCCAGGCTGCGCCTTTGTGAAGTTCCAAATGCACGCAGAAGCCCAGGCGGCCATCAGTACGTTGCACGGGAGCCGCACGTTGCCGGTGAGTGGAGCCCCACCACCACCGCCCCGTTTGCGGCTTAAGGGATGCTTTGGATCCGTCTGGAACTGGAAACGCTGCAGGCTGGAGAGAGAGAGAGAGAGAGAGAGGGAGAGAAAGAGAGCAAGGGATGTTCTTTCCTGTGGAGTCTGCTGCCCTCCGGTGGCCAGGTCGCGCCACTGCAACCTCTCCACACCGTGCAGTGAAAAGTTCCTGAGTGCCAAATACAGCCCACCGTTGGGGAGGGGAGTGAGGAAGGAAGGAAGGAAGGAAGGAAGGAAGGAAGGAGAAAGGGAGGAATAAACAGATGGAAAAAGGGAAGGAAGGAAGGAAGGAAGGAAGGAAGGAAGGAAGGAAGGAAGGAAGGAAGGAAGGAAGGAGAGAAGGAAGGAGAGGGGAAGGGGAAGGGGAGGAATAAACAGATGGAAAAAGGGAAGGAAGGGAGGGGAGGAATAAACAGATGGAGAGAAGGAAGGAAGGAAGGGGTGGGAGGGAGGAAGGAAAGAAGGAAGGAAGGCTCCCCACCTTCCAGAGCCCTCCGCATCCCAACCTCTCCCCCCCCTCGGCTCCCCCCCCCCTGCAGGGCGCCTCTTCCAGCCTGGTGGTGAAGTTTGCAGACACGGAGAAGGAACGGGGTCTCAGGCGGATGCAGCAGGTGGCCAACCAACTGGGCATGTTCAGCCCCATCGCGCTGCAGTTCGGGGCGTACAGCGCCTACACTCAGGCCGTAAGTGGGCCAGGGTCCTCCTGCTGCCCCCAGCCCCCAGCCTCCTGGGTGGGGCGGGAGGAAAGGCAAGTGGGCTGGAGTGCCGGGGGTCCGGGAAGGGCCAGGAAGGGGTGAGGAGAGGGAGGGGGGGTCTTCGAGGCTTCAGGGCTCTCTTTCCCCCCCCTCCCCCCCACAGCTCATGCACCAGCAGGCCGCCCTGGTCGCCGCCCACTCTGCCTACCTCAACCCCATGGCAGCCGTGCAGATGCAGCAGATGGCCACCCTCGCCCCCAACGGCCTCATCGCCACCCCCATCACCCCTTCCTCAGGTGAGGGGCTGGCAGAGACTCCGCCCTTTCTTCCTGGGGGGAGGGGGCTCCATCCCAACTCCCAACTCCCTCCCCCCGCGCTTCTAAAGTTGCTGCCTCTGGGGGGGTCAGATGGACCCCAAGCCTCCCAGGGAAGTAGCAGGGGGGCTGGGAGGGGTCTTGAACTTTGCACTGAGTGCAGCTGCAGGGCGCACGTCGGAATGGCCGGCAGTGCTGCCCCAGAGCTGGGTTAGGGTCGGGGGCTGCGGGAGAGAGAGAGCGAGCCCCCTGCAGCTCCCGGCTGGGTCTGGCTCCGTCCTGCAGGAAGCAGCACGCCACCTACCCTCGCGGCCACCCCGGTCTCTGCCATCCCGGCCACCCTCAGCGTCAACGGCTACAGCCCCGTGGCCACGCAGAGCACGGGCCAAGCGGCCTCCGAGGGGCTCTACACCAATGGCGTCCACTCCTTTCCAGGTACTTCCTCTCCCCCGCCCCTCCCCACATCCCCACGTTTTACTCTCTCGCTTCCCGGAGTATCCGACTTAGGGTTTTCTTCCACCCGCGTGGACTCGAACCCAGAGCCTCGTTCAAGCCTTTTCCCCAGGCAGAAAGAGAGACCATTTGCTGTGATTTGGGTGTCAGGTGGGAAGAGGGTCTCCTCCACCTCCGAGAGTTTTAAGAGGGGTGGACTTCAGTTCCCCAGCCAGTATGTTTTTATGATGCACGGACTACGATTCCCAGAAGTCCCTGGCCAGCATGCTTTGGGATGCACGGACTACAAGTCCCAGAATTCCTCAGTGAGCATGCACCGAGACGTGTGGATTTCAACTCCCAGAAGTCTCTGGTCAGCCTGCTTTGGGATGGCTGGACTTCAACTCCCAGAATTCCTCAGCCAGCAGGCTTTGAAAGGCGGGGACTCCAACTCCCAGAAGTCCATGTGTGTGTGTGTGAATGGCATGCCCGCTGCAGAATTCTGGGAGTTGAAGTCCAAGCGGCTGAAGTTCAGAAACACCGGATTAAACCCATTTAATCCTGTTTTAACCCTGGATTAAAAGGGGAGGCTCTCTTTCAGCCAGGATTAAACCACCGAGTTCAGGAGCTTGAAACTCAAGGGTCCCTTTTTTTTTTTTTTAAAGCCGCTTGAGCGCAAACCCCGGCTTGAAAACGTTGCCCGTTTTAGAACAAAAGGCAGGTCTTCAACGTAAACCATGCCTGTTGAGCTTCGAGCCTCCATGTGCAAGGGCAGTCTACCTCTGGCGCTCAGAAGGGGGGCTTTTAGAGAGAGGTGAAGCTTGTGGTGGCCTTGCCGCAGACACCTGGACGATCCTCCTTGCGGGGAGGGGGGGGAAGAGGGATGCTTGGCCGTTGTTGACACCCCGGCAACTCTCACAAGTGTGTGTTGTTTTCCCATCTCCCCACCCCCCCACCCCCAATGCCACAGCGCAGAGCTCAGCCACGCCCCTTGACCCCTTGCAACAGGCCTACGCCGGGATGCAACATTACACAGGTAAGGACAGGTATACACACACACACACACACACACACACACAGAGCTTGCTTCTGAAGACCCCTTCCCCTTCAAAAGCTGAGCCCCTCCCTCTAATCCTTCCCCCCACAGCTGCCTACCCTACAGCCTACGGACTGGTCAGCACTGCCTTTCCCCAACAGCCCGCCATCATAACCCAGCAGGCTCCCCCACAGCAGAGAGAAGGTAAGGTTGGGGTCCCGAGAGCCCCCCCATCCCCACCCCAGATCAAGCCGGGGGTCATCCCAGCTGCAAAACGCCAGCGGCAACCAACAAGAGAAGCAGGGGGGGATCGTGTTGGGGCTGCAATATCCTTGGGAACCCACCAGAGGGCGCCCAAAGGGGAGCTTTTGCTGCCCCCTGGTGGAGATCTGGATTTTTTCCAGAGAGGGTGGGCTGAATGCCGATTTATTATTAGATTTAATAATGCTCAACCTTAGCCACTTGGAACGGTGTGGATTTCAGTGCCCAGAATTCCCCAGTCAACGTTATGGCGAGGGGATTCTGGGAGTTGGAAGTCCACCACTACTTCAAGTTGCTAAGGTTGAGAAACTTCTCTAATGGAAGGTTTAAAATAATTTGCTCCGTGGTTTTTATCGCCCAGGGTCGATCCCTCCTGGGGTTCTGCGTGGTTTTCTTTCAAACTGTTGTAAAAAGAGGTGTAGACTTAACAGCAGTGGTACAGACTACTAGCAGGGCTCGCTTTTTCTGCCACATTCAAGGGTTTGCGCCAGATAGCACATTTTATTAGAAGCCGTTTTAATTAGAATGACAGAGCTGGAAGGGACCTTGTGGGTCATCTAGTCCAACCCCCAGCCCAAGCAGGAGACCCAAATCTCCAACTTCTCTGCTGCTTTTTCACCTCTTACACCAACACCAAAATTTGGAAAATTAAGTTTTTGCACAGCTGAGTCTCAACTCCCAAGGCCGGCTTCCTCTCTCATTTTTTTGCAGCAAAAAAAGCAGAAGCCAAAAGCTGGTTTATTTGATTTTCTTCTAACCTAGTTACAGCTGGCCTTTTAGGGCCCTGGTGAAGAAACAAGAGGTGGAGGGAAAAAAAGTCAAGAAATGTTTCGTAACCGGGTTGCAAAATGCTCCTTGCGTCCTTGGCTTTTGAGCTGAGGACATTTTGCAACCGAAAACCTGGCGTGTTGCCGGTCTGTTTCTCCTCCTCCTTCCTGACAATTTGGTTGGTTTTTTTTTCTTTGACAGGTCCTGAAGGGTGCAACATCTTCATTTATCACTTGCCGCAGGAGTTCACCGACTCGGAGATCTTACAGATGTTCCTCCCCTTTGGGAACGTCATTTCGGCCAAAGTTTTTGTCGACCGAGCGACCAATCAGAGTAAATGCTTCGGTATGGACCCCGCGGAGGTCTCCATCGGGGGCCTCGGCCGTCTTTCCTCCCGTGGTCCAAAGGACGGCCACCAAGCGGACCTCCTCAACTGGAGAGGGCTTGGTGGGAGTTAGGCCCAGAATTCTTAGCAATGGCTGTGCTGGTTGGGAGATTCTGGGAGTTTGAGCAGGACAGGATGGGGTTGGACTAGAAGACCTCCAAGGTCCCCTCCAACTTTGTCTTCCAAGTGGGGTTGAGAAATGCTGCTTTGGAAGCTGGATCTTCTCCGATTTCTTTCTTTCTTTCTTTCTTTCTTTCTTTTTTTTTCTTCTTCTTCTTCTTCTTCTTCTTCTTCTTCTTCTTCTTCTTCTTCTTCTTCTTCTTCTTCTTCTTCTTCTTCTTCTTCTTCTTCTTCTTCCTTCTTCCTTCTTCCTTCTTCCTTCTTCTTCTCCTTCTTCTTCCTTCTCCTTCTCCTTCTCCTTCTCCTTCTTCTTCTTCTTTCGTGGTCCTCCTGCCCGGTCTTGGGAGATCTGTGTGGGGCCCCTGCTCTCCTCTTCTGTGGGGTCTCAGCGGGCCCCTGGCCCTTCTTTCTCCCCTCCTCCCCTCTCCCTTCTGCAGGATTCGTAAGTTTCGACAATCCCGCCAGCGCGCAAGCCGCCATCCAGGCCATGAACGGCTTCCAGATTGGGATGAAACGGTTGAAGGTGCAGTTAAAACGCCCCAAAGACGCCAACCGGCCGTATTGAGCCACTTGACCAGCTGCCAGGTGGGTCCTTGGCCAAGCGAGCGGCTGCAGAAAACTCGAACCCAGCTCTCGGGTTTCTTCCCCCACCCCCCACCCCCAGTTGCTGGACCGAGGCTCTTCCTTAAACTGGCTTGTTTGCTCACAAACCTGCTTCTGAAAAAGTGGACCCAGGTCAGCTCCTGTTTCCACCGGCCATGGAAAGGGGGAATTTCTTTGGCTGTGGTTTTTTCCGAGGGTCCCTTTAACCAGCCCCCCCCCCCCCCCCCCCCCCC